ACAAAAGATTAAAAGCTGTGTGAAACTTTTTAAAATACATTGAGCAATGTGAACCCTTTTAAACATCTATTTGTTAAACTGAGATACAAAAGGTTGACATTCCAGTTTGTATGGCAATTTCCAAATCAAATAGCTGGAAATAATCCTCTCTTCCAGTTTAGTCTCTACCTTCAGTCTAATTTTAATGAGTCATTAACTAAATACGAATAAACAATAGTAAAGGCATATTTTCTCATGAAAAACATATACTTTTGTCAAAAACAACAAGAATACAATTGCTTCCAGAAATTTTACTAACTGGTTAAATACAGTTCTCAACGCAGTCACAGGACACATTTCATAACGGCAATTATGATCGATGATCATTTTAACTCACAATTACTTTTGTTTGAAAACCTTACATTATATTAAACATCAAACACTCATGTACACTCACCTATGAATTCAATCCAAAGCATATACCTTTAAGTAATTTAATATTTACAAAAACATTCGCAATAAAAAGCTCTTACAATTATTTCCTTAGTGCAAGGAACTATTTGTAGGAACTCACTTCATGAACTCTCACCTACGTACTTAAGCTTGTCTGGCTTTTGTATCTGGCAGCTACTGGCAATATTTATGTATGCAGTAGCATATGCCCTTGAAACAAAGTGTGTGCAGAATGACAGTACAACACTAAAACCTCCGCCTTTTTTAAACAATTCAACAACTGCACCACCACTGAATGTCAATTAAATCAAGTGGATCTCAATTCCTGTCCTGGGGACCCACAGCACTGCACATTTTGGATGTCTCTCTTATTCACAAGTGATCCAATTCATCAGCCTGTTAGCAGGAAGCACCACAAACTGAACCTGCTATAAGGGAGAAAAAACAAAATGTGCCATCCTGTGAGTCCCCATTGAGAATCACTGACTAGACCAAACCCTGTGGACTGTTATGTCATATTGGCTGCTTAATACATGAAAGGGTTTTAGTGCCACATTAATATAGTAATAAGTAATATGCTTTATGGTTAATTTCTTTATCAGAGCCATGCCTTGTCCTTTTGACTGAATTACTGTTGCAAGACTCTTTACTTGTGTTTATTTCCTGCTGTACAAACTTTTTTCTCGCTTTTCTCAGTGGACATTAAAACAAACTGTTTTACTATGAGACTGAGCTGAACAATGAATGCTGTTTCAGTTCAGATGCAGGTAATCACTCACTCTCATAATACTTTACTGTACATAATTCAATAAGCTTTTAACTTTAATGAAGCAACTCAGCATTCGTTCGTTAATAGTTATAAAGTGACATTTTCAAATTTTTAAAGAAGGGTTGGGATTTAATTTTTTTTATAACACTCCATTGTTGTTCGTATCACACATAGTTGTGCCATATTATATTACCTTGGATTACCTTAGTAATATACTGATACTAAAGGTTTTCCATTGAAAGCAATTGAATAGCAGAGTTCTTGCATATGCGGCAGTATTGGATGCCGTAGGAGTGAAAACAGTAAAACATTCTCGGGCATCTGATTGGACAAACTTCTGAGTGCAGGCTGACATCATGAATATTTTTGCTGTAAACAGACTTAAATCGCTGTTGTTTGTGGACCACTTTCTTCAAAGATAGATTAATCCTCCAAATAATCAAGTAAAAATGAGTGACGACTGATTGAGATAAAAATATTAAAATGGTCTTTATCAGATAATGTATCTCAATCAATTAATGCATCTCCAGTACTCACTTAAAAGGTTCATTAACTGCAATTTTTTTAAATTGCAGAATAATATTTTCTAATGTTTCCTGAGGTGCAATTTTAAAGTTAATAGGATTTTTATGTCAAAAACATAATTTTTAAATAAAAGGCCATTCTCTACAATGATTTTGTTAAAAAGTCATTGCATCACTGAAATACATTCTAAAAACTACTTTCTATTTGAGCATAAAAAGAACATTTCTATTTTTGGATTTATTGTTTCTGATTTGAAATACATTATTGAAATATTAATGTGGCAAGCTGTTTTTGACATTTCAGGATTTCCCCATTCAGAGAGATCGGACTGCGTCTTGGATAACTGAAATTAGCACATGTCGCTGAGTGTCTTTCCTTGAAAGGTACTTTGTTTAGCCTTCTGATTTGAACTAGAGGTTCTCACAGATGCACGTTTAGATCGAAATCCAAGCAGGTTTGGGTTTGGGTTCAAAACCCTGACAGGTGCTTCAGACACGGGTCGGGACAGACATTAGTAGCCTTGATTCCTGAGTCATTTAAAATAAATGTATAGAATGGACTTCAAATTCTGGTCCCACTTTATATTAAGTGGCTTAACTTACAATGTACTTACATTTAAATTAATCATTTAGTACAATGCAATTATTGTGTACAATACATACATGTTTTTACATTGTACTTATATTTAAAAAAAATACCTGCATGTAATTACATCTGAAATTAATTTAGGTAATTACATGTATAATTACACTGTTGACCCATCCCTTACAATTTAACCCAGTCTTAAACCTACCCATACCACCAAACCTGTCCCTAACCTTACCACCTAAATAGCAGCAAAAGTGTCTTGTAATACAATATGCACACAATAAGTACATTGTACTTATTTGTTGATGTAAGTATACAGTAGTTAAGTTTGCTTAATAAAGTGGGACCCAAATTCTTTTAAAATATGCCAACTTTTCGTTTCAGGCATCTAACAATGTTTTATTTTAATATATTAATATACATTGTATAAATTCCCAAACTCTCCTGAATATTGGTGCATCTATACTGTATAAATGGCGCTCTGCAATACCCAAGCCATTTAAGCAAATGAGTGTAGGGATTTTCTTATCAATATTAACATAAATTTCCTTTTTTGAGGTGCAACATACAGCTTATGCTCAGTTTATCTCTTCCTTCACATTTTTGACAAAGAATAGGCTACATAATTTTGGCTTCTGGCAACATGGGTTTAAAAACATAGCTGTTTTTTTGTTACAAAAAAGGATTGGAGAACATATTTTATCTACAACAAATAAGGTAAGATAAATCTACATCTGCTGTAGTGTTGTGATTTTGGTTTGTGTCATACCCAGATAAAAAAGCCACCATTTGCTACTGACGTGCATTTGGGTCCAGTTGGGTTTGAAACAAAAACAAACTTTATTTACTGGGTCTGTCTCAGGTCGGGTTTTTCATTTTCTAAAAAAATAATTTATGCATGTTGGGTGAGAAGTGTCTCAGGTTGAATTGGGTCAGGTACAGATATTGGGACCTAAGAAAACCTCTAATTTGAACACTGTTTAAAGACACGTGTCTACAATGTAAACATGTCCATACAATGCATTAGTGCACAGTAAAATCCAGAGCGTTAAATTAACACTGCTCGGAGCATATATGGTCCCACTCTAAAAGAGTGTTAAAGTAACACTGAAGCAGTGTTAAAGTTAATGAGATAATTATGTGATTAATTAAGTGCTGATTGAGCATTAGTGATGAACAGCTGCTGTTAACAAGCAGAATCACTGAAGAAAAGAGAAACACAAGAACTACAACTGCCTTCAGCCACGCCTTAGATTAAATCAACTGAAATAAAAAACATTAAATCTCTCAAGATCTCAGCAGAAGATGATTAAACAACTCCACAAACAGCATCACCAACTTCACACATTACTAACCAGTTTTAATTTTTGTTTGTCATGCGTCTAAAAATCATCAGACAGATTCATGTTGCATTGCATTCTGGGTGCACCAATCATAACTCATCCATGGCTCCCAGCATGCATTGCGACATGAATAAATTATGCAGCTGCATTGTCTTAGTATTTTCTTTTATTTTTACTATTTGCTTTTATTTTTGTTATGACTTTTTACTGCCTTGTTTTGTGACGGTCAAAAATCACATAAACATTATCAGAATATTTTGTCACCATTGCTGAGATTCACATGCTGATTCTTCATGTCTATGAGTGCCAAAGTTGAAACCTCTTTATGAACCATATTTATAAAAGTCATTTATAACGTTTTTCTCACATTGTCTCATATAACTGCAACAACATAGAAATCATAAAAGCACTACAGTTTTAGATCAGTTGCAATCAGAGACTGATCCTTGCCATCATACATATGTGTTCAATACACACAATTTTGCCAACCAAAGAGAAACTTAAATTTAAAAAGTCAAGGGTCAAGAGGCAACTAAAGCAACCACTATTCACAAAAACGGTAAGTTGAAGAAAAAAAAACATAAACATTAATTCTCAATAAAGAACTTCTGTTTTAGATACTCCAGAAATAAAGTCTAACTGGTTAGTAATGCATGAAGCTGGTGATGTTGTTTGTAGAGTTGTTCAATCATCTTCTGCTGAGATCTTGAGAGAGATTTAATGTCTTCTTTTATTTCAGTTGATTTTATCTAAGTCTGTGGCTGAAGTCAGTTGTAATTCTTGTTTCTCTTGATTCTGCTTGTTAACAGCAGGTGTTCATCACTAATGCTCAATCAGCACTTAATTAATCACATAATTATCTCATCAACTTTAACACTGCTTCAGTGTTACTTTAACACTCTTTTAGAGTGGGACCATATATGCTCCGAGCAGTGTTAATTTAACACTCGGGAATTTACTGTGTGGGCGTGCGATGATGAATCAGGCATTGACCTTGTGTCTGTGCAGGCAATCTTGTTGCTGACGTATTACTCTATTAAAACTCAGAAGTGGAAACTAGTTTTGGCAGCTTGGTTTCAAGAAAAGTTGTTTTTGGACTAACAAGGAAGTTCTGCAAACATTCTATTTTTATACATTTTAGTACAATGACGTCTTATGTGTCAAAAGATCAGGGAAAATTTGATTTCTCAATTCATGACCCCTTTAATAGGTCCTAGACTTTCAATAAACACTGATATTTAGTGTTTTTGAGGATGCTGACATAGAATATGTCAGGGTTTGTATGGGTTTCTATAAGCAAATAAAAAATTCCACCAATAAAAAAAAGTTAAAATTGTGGAAAATTGTCTTTAAAACAAAGAAAGTGCCATTTTAACATATTTTGGAGTATTTTCTGTCTATTCTGAACTATTTTGATTGCCGCTTGTCACAAGCACATTGAACTCTGAGATTCTGCCCACACAGCCAGCAGCAGAAGTGTTCCTTATGCCACACATGACCGCTGGCCTCCTGAAGGAACATTTCTGAGAAGATCAGCTACAAAAGAAAGTGAGAGAATTCATTTGTGTTTATTTCACATACACATCTCAAGCTAAAGAATATGTAACCAAATGTAGATTTCTTGGTTATGCCTTCTTGTGAAAGTTTTCTAAAAGTTCAGTTAATTTTTTTTATACCTTTTAGTAAAAATGTGTTTTAAAAAGCATTTTATTTTACCTCATCACAGCCCAGGCAGCGAGGTCTGATGCTCTGGCAGTAATGGCGTCCACACAGCAGCGCTCCTTCCTTCCAAAAGTAGATCAGATCCACCAGAGGCTCACCACACTCGCAGCACACAAAGCAGTTGGGATGCCACAGTCTAGTGTACCCGGCCCTGTCGGCGTATACCACAGGACTGTCCATAGCTGCCAACTGTCCACAGCCACTGCAATGCTAAGAGGCAGAGTTAGGGGAAAATACCAAAGCTGGATCAACCACAAAAAATCAAAATGGTGAAAGCCCATTGCTATGATTAGGTATTGCATGTGGAAAACTTTTACTATGTATTTACTATTACAGCTATCAAGATTAACTTATTGTGAAAAGTGTTGATTAAAGCATTATATTTATATTTAATATTAATATATTCAGTCTGACACTCATGGCCTGCCAGGCCTCGGCCTGTGTGGCGAGGGGTTGGATTAGTTCGGGTGGTGAGTCGCCATGCGGGGACTTGACACTCGTGATAACTGGAAGATGAAATTTGCTCTCTTTTTGAAAATGTTTTTTATTTTTCTCGCTATAACAGCGGCTGTTTGTGAAGGCGCTTTTGGAACGGGCCCAGTATTCACAACAGTTTCTAGAATCTAAGGAACTGAACGGGGTGCTTGAGGGCACAACAGAGGGCGTTTTTGGGGTGGTCTGGTGCTGGCGAGACTTTGACCCCTCATCTTCCTGCCCAGCAGATCAGGACGACGCCTGAGGCGCTGGATCCAACGTCAGCTTGGGCCAGGGTCCTTGGCGCTTCGGAAATGGGTAACGTCTGACCGAGCGGGAGTGCTATCGGGGCTCAGGCTTCTGAGAAGGCTGAGCGGGCGGCGTCGCAGGTTTCGCTGGCTGCTGTGCTGGTGCAGGTCTGGGGCGACTGGTGGCCGTTGCAGAGCTGGAACGCTTAGGCAGGAAGTGCCGCATTGCCTGGGATGACTTCTGTGCTGCTGTAAAACGCTCTGCAAATTAGTGTTAATTTTGTCAGCTATTTTCATTTTAATCTTAGTCCCGGGCTAAAATGTCCTTGTTAGTTTTTATCATATTTAGTCAACCTTATCCTACTTAGTTTTAGTCAAGTTTTAGTCGACTAAAAGTCTCAACATTTTAGTCTAGTTTTAGTCAATGAAAACTTGACATTTTAGCAATAAGATTATTATTAATTAACTGTACAGCAGTATTCATTTTGGCAGCCATTTTTAATTTAGTCTTAGTCTTACTCAAATGTACATTTTAGTTATCATATTTAGACAAACTTGTCCTGTTTTTGTTTATTTAATTAAATGTATGAGCATTTTAGTCAGGTTTTTTAGTCAATGAAATATTAGTCACATTTTCGTCATTCTGTATAATGGTTAAACTGATAAAAAATTATTTTTTTCTCAAAATTATAATTGTAATGATTGTTGTCATTTGAGAAATGTACTTTTGCATTTCAGGTATTGCACTTTCTCCAGTAAGCACAAATCAATAGAATGTGGACAAATACATGGTGTATTTGACCTCATCTAGTTTACTGATTTATTATAGGCTTTTTATTATATAAATCAACACCAAAGACTTATGCAATCTCCCTGTCTACGTGATAAAAACAGCTCAAACAAACGAAAAATATTATAACAGTGAAATTCCTAGTAATTTCACTAATTCCATAATTGCATTAGTCTATTTCTCTATTAAAACAACAGCGATTAAGTAAGTATATTTATGCAGCGATCACAATCAATATAGTGAGATCTCATGACAGAACACTGACAGGCTGAACGACGGTTCCCTTTCATGGGAACTTCGAACTGCGTCCTCTAGGGGTCGCTATGGGGAACGTCTCGTCGTGACCCGTGTCTGAAGCATACATTGAAAAAACACCAACTCGTTGACCGGCGACAGCCATGACGTCACTACCGGTGCGACTATAGTATAAATAGGCGCCGGGAGCACACATCATTCTCTTCTTCATCTTCATTGACTGTTTTGTTTGAAGCGTGCATTTCTGTGGTAAGAGCGATCTCTATTCATCTCATTATGGCGAGC